TTTGTCAAATTTCTTCGACATCACTCTTTTCTATATCCTTCCTCAAGAAACGGAAATTTGGAAACTATTACGAAATGTTCTGCTGGATGTGGCTCCACTATTTGAAATATTTAAAATATTCTTTTCTATTAATATTTGACCACTTTGATGAAGGAAGAAATATAAGATTTATTAGAATGAAAAAGTATATAAAATGATGCAAAGAATAATATTAAGAATTTTTCAAGTCAATACTTTCATGTTTATATAGGTATATTTTCTTGCATAATCGTAAAGACGTATTTGTGATAAAAATTAGTGGTAACAAGTTTGATTTACTGAAGATGTTAATTTTATTCCAAAATTTTTGACAGACATTTGTCTTTTATATTATTTACTATTATTTAAAAAATTGAAAAAATAAAATAGTGATGTTTTCGGCGCAAAAAGATAGTCAGCCAAACTGTTGCTGAGTATTGCTAGAAAGAGAAAAAATAAACCACATAATCAGCCACGCAAAAACGAAAAAGGTTATGGCAAAAACGTTGATACAACCGGGAATTTTGCGACCATTGTGAAAATAAAATAACCGAAAAATTCAGGGCAAAATAAAACGAGAGAAATTTGTCGAGAGGAACGAAATCCGTCGTATTATTCAGCTTACTCTTATTACTCTTCACTGGTAACAAATTTCCTTAGGTTAATTTCTTCGTTGCTTATTTATCGAATCAACTAAATCATTAAAATCACCTTGAAGATCGTTCTCTGTTCAACAAAACAAAATTTACGCTCTTAAAAAAAAATTTGGATTAAAATGAGATAATCGATAAGAAAATCCATAAATTTAGTTCAGAAGGAAAGAGGGAATTTTAAGTGCAAATATAAGTAAATAATCGCCATTTAATATCATACTACACTATAAATTAATTAAGTAAACATCTTTTTAATCGATGTGGATTGATAGATTTATATAGAAATTAAAAACTGATATTGAAGGATTGACTACGACGATGATACAAAACTGGCGAATTTATTAAGCTAATTTATTATAATCCGAAGTTGTTCAATAATGTAATCAGCCTAGTGAATAAAAAATATCGGAGAAAATAGAGAAGATAATAAAAAGTATAGGAAAGAAAAGCATGTAGAGCGTGGACTAATATAGGGCTGCTCCTATCCTACATCAAACGACCGATCTGCTTAAAGGCTCGATTGTTCGCCAAGCGGGTTTTTTCCATTTAGATCTGCCGTCGTTCGGGTTTATAGTTGCGCATAACGATAATGCACTTTCAAACTTCAGTAATTAAACTTTTATTCAAAATTAAAAAAAGAATGGCCTTCAATAAAATGCATTAAATGACGAATAGTTACGTCCAAATGGAAAAAAATAGTTGGATCATAAGGATTCCCTGGTTTCCCCGTTAATGATGAAAGCTGTATGTGATATATGTACGTATATATGTATAGTAGTAAGCGAGATTATGAGGTTAATTTCAATGGCTTTCCTTGATTTGAGACAACTATTTCCTCAAATAACTATCCAAATAGGAATGGACAAATATCTATCCAAATTTAAATTCAATATTTCTCATTACAGATTTTCATTTTTAAGCAAAAATCCTTGAAGATTATAACAAAATGAAGGAAAATTTGATATAATTTGAAATTGATATAATTGATAATTGAAGATCCTTTGAAAATTTTAAGGTATTTTTCCTCGAATGCCTTTTGTGGAAAATGAAATATTTTTAGACAAATTCCTTTTAGAAATCTTAAGAATACTTCTAATGCTTGAGTTATCTATACCAGCGATTAATCTGTATTAGTGTATAATGTGCATAGGAACACATTGAGGCTGAAGGATTTGTATTAAATTTTCGAGACGCCACAAAAACTTATATCGAATACATTAAAAAATTTCCTCTTGGAACTGTCCAAAAAGTCTATGAGATTAATTGGATTTGGATGAAAGTTAAATATTAGATCGTGTAGCATCAATAATTTTTTCAAATGCCACATTCAGCTCAGTGAATGGGACAACGATTCCTCAGCTAATCGCTGTGAAAACATGGAAATTTTTTAATCGATCAAATAATAACTTCCTTTTTAATTTTTCTGTCTTCTCGAAGGCCTTTAATTAACGTTGAGCTCTGTTTGCCATTAAAAGTGATACGAATAAAAGAAACAGCAATTTGAAATATTTCAATTTTTTTGTTTAACACATAAAAAACTTTGAGGAATAAAATCGTTAATTTGGTATTTAAGCCTAGTAGAGCTAAAGAAAGAATAGCGAAGTTGAATATAGGCTCATATTACCATCTTGAGAAATAAAATTTCGGCTCCTACTGGTGCTTCCCATAAGAGTAAACTTGCTATTAAAAGTCCCAGATAATTCTGGCGACCTGTATTTCTATCGAGGTGACTCCCTAGCAAAAATTGCTAACAGTATCAGCCAGCTGTACTATTCTAGAAGAATTAGAAATAGTGGGCGCTAGCCATTTACTTACTGAGGGGAATTATAGTAAAATAGGAATAAAAAAATTCGCATCCGTATTATGCATGATAACAATATAAGAATTATAAGAGTGGTACATTGCTTCGGCTAATAAAGCTGAACTAATAAAACTAGGAGTAAAGTGTCATAAATTTGATTCTTATTGAGGATAAAAAGTCTCGTAAGTCTCAGTAGGCTCTTAATCTTTTTAGGAACGAAAAAAGAACGTTATTGGTCTGACTGATTCCACTGCCTACGAGATGAATCGTTTTTGCCTGAGAATAGCGTTTTTCTCACTAAATACCCATATAACAGAATCACTTTCAAAATTTCAACTGACGGTACCAGTTCATTCTCTTTCTAACATTTTTTCAAAGTCAGAAATATTTGTTCATAAAGCGCCTTAATAGATCAAGTAATCATCCCTCTGGAATGCATGAATCCTCAGAGCTGAATCTCATGAATCTCCAGAGTTCGCTGAATCGAAAGCAACTACAAAATCAATAAAATAAGGTGGTATGCGCTATTTGAAGCGATTTTTCAAGCGATCATATTGCCTTTAGTTATTTTCAAAGGCTACATCACTCCACTGTTTTTTCTGCTATGCACTTATTTGTATATTTATATCCGATATTATCACTGTATATCTGACATAGATTTTGGCAACCTTTTCCGACCGTTAATTCAATTTGTTCAATTTGCTCGTTTCCCACTGGCATACATTAGAGTTAATTTATCTGACTTCTGGGGATGCCCGAATTATCCGACTTCATATTTAAGAATCAGCGAAGTAGTACAGCACGAGCATAGGAATTCTCTTAGCATATCGCTCACAAACTTATAATGTCTTAAGAAATATTTTTGGTATTTGATACTATCTGCTTCGTAAACGAAAAGCCTTCATTCAATTTTCGTTTTTCTTTTATCTTCAAAATTTATATCCTCACAAATTACTACATTTGAGTAAATAAATGAGAATTAATAAAAAAACCAATAGGAAAATAAAGGAATGAAAATATCACCGCTGACACTAGCTCCACACGACGAAATTTACTCCGTTTGAAATCTGTTGCTTGAGATAATCACAAGTCTAAGGATCTTTCTGCCTATCTTTCAAATTCTGGAGTTCTAATAATAAAACTTGGGAAGGCAAATTTGTAAAACTCAATCAAAATTGATATCCAGTTACTATGCTCATTCCTTCGGCGATCGTATATCTTGTTCTTGAATTTCTTGAATTGAGAATTTCGATAAATAGAAATAAAAATATTTGAAAATATACATAAAAGAGATTGTGTATACGATAATTTTATTTATTTGAAAAATTATCAAACAGAACCTAAGCTTGTTATCAATTTTTATCACTTCTTCATTTATTATATATCAGTTTCACTTGTTTCACTTGCTTCTCTAGATCTCTCGACGATTGCATCATTGTATTATTTAATACTTTTTTAAAAAATAAATTACATATGATAAATCCAAGAGTTTTTGGTTCAAAATATGCTGATAATGGATAATAGTTAGTAATATCATATGTGGTTAGGCACTCCCATTGCCTATTTGAAAGAGATACTATAATCTAGAGAGTCATGTGGAGGAGTTCGCCTACCAGAAATAGGAGCCGAACCAAGATGTTTGAAATAATAATGAATGCACCACTTGGTTATTTGCGAAAGCCATTTTCTATAAGAGTTGCAACATTTTAATTTTTTGTGTTCCTTAAATCCCTTATCAGATTTTCAATGATTTATTCAGCCGAGTTATTTATGCAGCAAATTTAAGCAAATTTACTGTGATTTGCATAAATTAATTTGAATATATTTATGGAGTGAATAAACGGCATTGCTAATGGTAGCACTACGAGAAATTCATAAACTTTTATCATTCGTTTTCGATTGCTTATTATCCTGGTGGCGTTTTAAATTTCATAACGAACCTTCATGCTATCAAATAAAATGACACGACATGTTTTCGTTCTTTTTTGCGAGAAGAATATAATAAACATGACAAAAAAATATTTATGTCATACAAATAATTTGAACTTCGACAATTTCCAAATTTCATATTTTCAAATAAATTGAATTCCATTTAATTTCTTCAATTTACCAGAAGAGTTAATTCAGTATCCTTTGTCCCATTGCATTATGATTTCATATATGTTCAATAGCACCAATTATGATGTGTATATTTTGTGGTCTGGTTGGCTGAGGCCATTTCGCCAGAGAGTCACTTGATGAATAGAGGTACATAAATTCCCAGCATTCATTTGGATTTCACTCCAAATGAAATAAAATATTCTCATGAAAATTTTTCTTAAATTATTAAAATTAAATTCCATTATTTTTTTGTCATGGCATGTTCAGCCCAAAATATTTCTCGATTTACTTGTGTGATGAAGGAATAACTTGAATTTAAAATAAGTCCGTGATTTTTAATGGCAACAAGATTGAAATCGAATTGAAATTGAAGTCAAATATTGAAATTGTAGCGTAATTTTATTAAATTACGTGAGATAAATATATTATCAGATAAAAATTGGCTCAACCGGAAATGGACGAGCTCCAGCTCGTTTTTCTGACTGCCAAGGTTTAGGATAACCGTCCAGCAAATTCAATGCCTTGTTGGAATAAAAGTTCAATGAAAGTGCAAGTTTTTGTGGATCAATTCCTCTAATTTTCTCACGATTCTGTTGTCTTTCGTAAGCCTGAAACTAAGTTATAGCTAAAAACGATTAATATAGTTTCGGAATAGGCCGAATAGTATTTTTAAGTAATTAGTAGGAGACGATTCGAAAACATTAATTGATAAAAAGCGAAAATGAATAAACAACAAAACTGGCAATATTGCAAAACTAGACACTGCGGTTTTTTTTGCACTAAAAGCAAAAAATTTGGAAACCACTTACATAATTGAAAATTTTTCCATCACTTCTTTTTTCATTCAGGTCGAAGTTCCACTCCAGCATTCTACCATTAAAGTCAATCAAGTATGGGTTGAATATTCTGCCACCTCCACGCTTATCATTTAAAACCCAACTCCATGAAGATGTTTTATCACCACTACTATATTTTTCATTCGCATTTGGATTCCAGTTGAACATTCTGGCACCAGCTCGTTTTTCTCCTAATTCTGGGCTTAATTTGAATGTTCTACCATCATTTCGTGTTGCTTGCGAGTTCGAATCGAGTTCTAACTCTTCAAGCAATTCAGTCGATGATCCTGAATATATGCACTTTGCCTGATTATTGTTGCTTTTATCGTTATTTTATGCATCATGGATCTCCTAGTCTCACAAAAAATTAAAAAATTGCCATAAAAAATTCAAATGTATAATGAGTAACTTAACTGTACCACAATTACTATATGACTCCCTGGCAAAATTTTTTAACCGTGCTAACATCAAATAGAAATAGTCTAACTAAAGAATGAATGAAATCAGCTTATATATATAATATATATAAACATATTCATTATATCTCTGCTATATAATTATGCAGTTTATTTTGATATAATTTTTTAACTTTTTAAGCAAAAAATGGCATTGATTACAGTAGCATAGGAGTAAGCACTAAGCACCAGACCCTTCGAAACAGTGATCTACCACTCTAGACGACTTTAGGTGCAGATTGTGCAAAAAAGCTCCAGAAACAGTCCAAAAAGATGTAAAACAGTGGCAGTGTAAAATGCAAACAGGATAATGAGGTGAAGATCTTGTGAGACTTTCCATCCAAACAGACAATACTGGCCAATCAATTATATCAATAAATAAATAAGAATAAATAAGAATAATCAGCACTGGTGATTGATATAGCAATACCAAGCGACAGGAACACCAAGAAGGAGTATGAGAAGTTAGAAAAATACCAAGAACTGAAAGAACTAAATAGAAGAAAACTAAATGTAGAAAATAAAGGCCAAAGTAATTCCAGTGATAATTGGAGCATTTGGAACTGTGATTCCTAAGTTAGAAAAGTGGCTTCGGAAAATTTCAGGAACAATTTCAGAGATCTCTATCCAGAACAACGCATTATTAGGAGCAGCTAAGATATTATCTTCAATCCTTCAGACCACTGATAGAGGACTCGAGGTTGAGAATAATCATAATCACCCACAGAAGATGAGAAAAAAATCTTTTTTACATGTTTATTTTGCTATAACTTTTTAACTTTTTAAGCAAAAATGGTTCGAATTTCTTTTATGGTCTTAGTAACATGATTTTTAAATTAGCATACATCAATTTCATATAAAATATAACATGTCTGCAAAATCGAGCAAAATTGAAAAATTTTGATTATGATTTTTGTCTAAAAGAATCCAATTTTAAGTGAGTACTCATGTACTTATGTTTTATTTCTAACCATAAATTTTGACCTAGAAATCCTAGAAAAAAAATGACCTAGAAATAATAACAAAAAATTTTTACTAAAGGAAAAATTTTTCTCCTAAAAAGCTTTTGGCCTTTTTAGATTTTAAAGCATTGGACAGTTTATATTTTCTTTTTATAAATTTATTTTACAAAAATTTTCATTTTTTTTACAAAATTCATTTTATTTTTTTTACAAAAGAAATTTGTTACGTAAAGTTATTAAAGGTAACTATTTCTGGTTAGTCTAGCGCCACGGGCTGTTAGTGGAGTTAAAAATTTTTGCCAGAGATTTACTTGACGGTAAAAATTCAGGTCAGGTGATTAGGTTTATCGTTAGCATCAACAGGACTTTTGAAGACAGATTCACTCCAGTTGGCAGCGAGGTCAGGATCTTTGTTAGCGCTAAAAGATCTCTGAACAAGGTCCGCTTCCGGAAAAGCAGAACTGGCCTAACGAACATTGAAAAAATTTCCTTCTGTGAATGGAAATGTAAGAAAATCTTAAGGATCCCTGCAATCGATCGTAATAGAATCGTATTATTTACAGAAAATTTCCATTTGGATCAGTTTGAACAACTTTCTCAGTTATTACGCGATGTTTATGACTTTGTGAAATTAAAGTCAAGCAAAGGAATTTAAGCTGAATGTAAATTTAATTATTCTTCAGGTTACATGCGTATTGTTAAATAAGTAAATAATATTTTTCGCTAAATATAATTGTTAGTTGGTAATTATTTGGAAATTACGGCTAATAATCCATAATTTATGCCTTTCATGCACTGCGATCTCATTCAACATCAAACGACCACAGATATTTACAACTAATGAATTTTTTCAGCGGTCGATGATAAACGAAAAAATGATAGATTTGAATTCAAAAATTCGACAATATTTTCTTAATATATTTCACAAGAACTTATTTATATAAACGTTTAAAGGTCGCATGCAAGGCACTTTTATAGTTTGAGCCAAGTCCGGAATGAAAGCTCGTAAAGTTCCAAAGAATGGAGTGTTATCTTTGTATTCGTGTTCCTGAACAAGAACAATCCTTGTCAAAAGTGAAATCAGAGTGATATTTAGGGAGAACCCAACTAATGTTACATTTATCCACAAAATATTTTATATTATACAGCCAACACAACTTGAAAACAAAAAGCTTATAGTCGTTTATGAATTTCAATTCTCAATTATGGGAAAAATGCAAAGGATTTTATTTGATAAAAAAGTATTTGCATTTTCAGATTGACAAATTTTAAATTAACTCATCAGTTATTGCTTTAATAAAAAAAATTTGGATTTTTAAATTCGGTAATATCAATCAATTAAATCAGTTTTAGAAATTAGTGTTTGAATTCAAATTATAGTGGTAAGATGCCGCGATTTCGTCTTAAAAAATCCGCATAATACTGGTGATCATGCTTGTACTCTTATACTCTTATATCTCCTATACTGCTCAACTGGGAGCGCTGATCCCGAGGTTCTCCGCAGGAGTAAATTTGTACAAAAATCCGGGTGATGCTGGCGACTCACCTGTATTTATATCGCTAAGGGACTCCCTGGCATATTCCCCAATGCGACAAGCCAGTGGAACGAGTTTAACCAGTAATAGTGTAGACTTTAAAAAAATATCTCCTATACACTTGCCAGATAACCACAGATAAAAATTATCCAGAAATGATGAGCGGTCTTCATTTAATTAGCGATTCAACAATTTGGTGCGAAAGATATGCTTTCATCAAATTATTTATAATGTTAATTTTTACTTTTACTTTTGAAGTTAATTTCTTTAATTAAATGAATAACTAACCATAATTATTCTGTTTTGGAAAATTTCGAATGGAATCTTCTAAACAGATCTTATTTTTTTATAGTCATTAAATATAGTTCAGTCATGAAAAGAAAAATCGACGAATGATGACAGATTGCCAAACTTAAATTATAAAAATTAGAAAAATTACCGCATTTAAACAGAATGGTGATGAAGACGAGGAATACCAAATTCATCGAATCCATGTTCAAACAATAATTTCGACAAAATCGCACCTTAAGAAAAAGCCTTTTCTTAATAACTGCAAATGGCTAAGGGAAAGCGGTTTATGACCTCAGGGGCGGACTAAGAATTGGAAAATCAATTTATATGTCAATGTATTCGAAGAATTGTTGCCCAACACAAGCACAACTTGAAAACAAAAAGCTATTATCATCAAATTAATATTCTTATCTGCCAACTTTATTTCACATCATTTCTCCACTCAATAAAATAGAGTTCAGTAAAAGAAAAAATTTTTTTCAACCAAAAATGCCATTCGGTGTAAATCCCAAAATCCTCAAAAATCAAAAAAATCCTAAAGATTTTTTCCTTCTCTCTAGATACCTGAATCAGATGAAAAATATAAGATAGACAATGAATAGCATGCACTCTTTTGTAATGACCAGGTGGAAAACAAAAAAAATTGCGCTTCGAAGATGCGTTGGTCACCACTCATCCCAAATCGTTTTGCGAAGTGCAGATTTATGATTTATGAGTATACAATACTTTATTCCGTTCGAATAAAGTCGAAACTATGGTTCTGTTTTCAAAATTGCCTTTTAACGGTGCAAAAAAATTTTTAAAAAGCTCCAAGAATTCCTAAATTTCAAAAAAATCCTCTTCTAAATTTCAAAAATCTTTAAAAACCACGGGTAACCACAAACATTAATCTAATCGAATTTCGCACGAATTTCTCACATATATATTCTCTAATCGATATATTCTTTTAAAAAATAATTATTTAAATTACCTATGAACTTTTTTGATTAAGCGTTCGTTTCATTTCACCTCCTTTCAGCGATATGTTTTTGGTAAAGTTAGATTAACTTTAATGTTGAAAATTCCAGATTCAGTACTATTTTTTGAACCTTAGAAAGTTGTGTTCAAATAGAAAAAAGTAGAAAACCAATTTAAAGCTGCCATTTATTTGAAAAAAATGAAATGTTTATTGAGTTTTAAGAAAGAAACAGATAAATTGATACAAATAAAATAGAAATCAACGAGAAATTTGAACGCAATGTGGTGCTACCAAGATTTCTGTATTTGGCTCAATTTTTGAGAACACCAACCTTAAGTCTCCACGCTCCACGCTCAAACATTTGAAGACCACTCTTTTTTTTCGTCAACAGATTTGTAATTGCACTAAATTCAAGCCTATATGATGAGGAAAATGAAATGAAGATTTTTGCTACAGATAAATTATGGTATCTGTTTTTGTAATTAGAAGTTATGAAGACCAATTTTTACTTTGTAAATTTTCGTTTCAATTTTTCATTTGCTGATTCGTTTTACAATGGTAAATCTGATTCTTTAGTGCTTGAAAATGGATCTAAAACCCAATTAGGAGTTTTCATTTTAAGGACATCTCAAAGAATTTATTAAATCATCCTGGAATGTCTCCAAGTAAGCAATAAATTGACAAGTTGATAATGAATCTTTTTTTCATTGAGGGATAATTCGGACATTGAAAAAATTCATTTTGACTTACGTTGCACTTATAAAAACTGTAGAAATCTGCTAAGCTATGCTATGCTATGCTATATCTGCTACGTCATTCTGAAAATCGTTTCCAAGGAACCACCTTCCCACCATTTTCATTTTCAAAAAATTTTACAACTGAAAAATATCATAAAACAGGCACTTTTGGCAACCAATATAATTTTTTTGTACGAGGTAGCAAATGATCGTCGAGAATTTCTGATTTT